AAATTCTCCACTGCTTCTCCGTTTATCTGAAGAGTGCAACGGACTCGAAAACAAGGGAAGCACTAAGTTTTCGGTTTAGATATGTTCATACACAAGCCGGCCTCGTCACACTCTGCTGCTAATCTTTCCAGAGAGCGCTGTAGATCAGTTTGAGGAGATGCCGACAAAACAAGGTCAGCGGCAAAGAGCAACCTTCTCTACGTTGATACACTAGTTGCCGTAGCTGCGTCTAACTGTCCTATCCATGCACAATAGAAACAGAAGAGGGGACAAAACGCGGCTTCAGCGGAGATCCCTTCAAACGTTGAAAGGTCTCGACCTAACGCAGTTTACTTTGACGCAGCACCTGATATCAGGGTGTAGTGACTGCCTCGTAGCAACTGACCATCGACCCCATACGTTTGCAGTCATGCCTTTATCTTCCCTCGGGATCCTCCTTTCTCCAGGTCAACAAAACGCGTGCAAACCTAATGAACGGACTCCCACAGTTTCTCAGCAACCTGGCATAACTCGATGATATGGTTGACGGTGCTTCTGCCTGTCCTGAAGTCTTACTGCTCTTGTATCTTAGAGTCAGTTATTCAGGGGCTCCTCCTTTTCAGCATCTTCGCATAGACCTTTCCCGAAATGCTTACTAAGGTAATGCCCAGATAGTTGGAGCACTCCTTATAGTCTTCCTTCTTGAACAGGAGTACTGAAACCTGTTCTCCAGTCTACTGGTATCTTCTCCGTAGCCATTGCATTTTGATAGACATGTTAGCAAACCATGCCTTGTTCGCCTAAAGCTTTCAGCGTTTTGAAGGGGATTTCATCGATTTTATCAACCTCGTCACTTTTTAAGCTTTTGTGAAATTATTCTACTGAAAGACTAATAACCTTGTCTGTTGTTCGTGGATAAACAGTTCCTCAAAGGACCCTTTATCGCCGAAATTTGTCCTCATTCTTGGTAAGAAGGCATCCAGATTTGTCCATTAGGACTCGGAGACTGGCATTCTTTCTATCTCAGAGGCGATGTATGGCATGCCAATATACCTGTCAGTGGCCTTCCGGAAGTTCTCCTCAGAGAACGTTTCCCAGGAATCAGCTTTTGCTTTGGTCGGTGGTTTAGTTGCCGTCTTGCGCGCTTTTTCGTACTGCATTCTAGTTTAGGTCTTTTGCTCCTGAGCCACATCTGAAGTGTAGCCTTATCGGTGACAGCCAGTTGAACCTTGTTTCACAAGGCAGTTCGTTTCTGACCTTCAGACGGCGGATCAACCCATTTTAAACCACGGCATTCAGCGGGAGTGCCGAGTAAAGCATTCTTAGTACCTCTGGTGATTATGATAGCAGGAAAAGTAAGCGATTTCAAATTTACGTTACCTGGTTCTCTGGGCATTTAATCGAACTGAACTTCAACCATTTGGAGTAGGCTCAAACAAACTTTATATCTGAAACCTTTAATCAACTTGTACTAAAATTTTTAAGTAGGTTTTAGTAGTGGCAAGTATTTCCTGACTAGTACATAAAAAATTTAGGTCGGACCAACAACGGTTACGTCTACCCTTGGCTTGAAGCAAACGAAAGCGGTGTGCATTCGTATTACGTATCGATCTGAATCGAATCGTGTTTTGCATCACACGTGGAAAGCGGCCAGCACGCGTTTATTCAACAACATTGCCATTCAGATCAAAAACGTTGACGAAGCCGAGGAGTATATCTGCGCCATTGGCGAGCAGTTTATTGTAGCACTAAGTTTAGCGGGGAACGATGTACAACTAGAGTATTGTGCGAAGCTTCCCAGTCGGTCCGCGGTGACCTCGCATTCGACAGGAGGAAGCCAGTCAGCGTTTCGCTTGAGGGCTCTGAGGCAAGTGACACACGTTGGACGCGAAGTTAAAAACTTTGGCTCGAAACTTTCTGCCTTGAAAGCGAAGCAGACCGAAGAATTGAAACGTGCACTGTCGAAGATAACGCCTGCTTCGCCGATCCGCGCAGGGAATAGAGAAACAAATCTAGTCGTAGTACGGAAGCTGTATCGAAGTGCGTCAGTTTCGTCGCCTCACGCAGTCGGCGATCTGCCTTTGGACAATACTCGTATGGTCCCGGAAGTCGGCGTGATTTTTGGCTGCCCAGTGCTGCGTCCGGTGTCTTCAGAACTTCACCGTAGCCCAAACGGTGGCAAACAAGCAGTAGATGGTAGCGACGTGAACCCGCTGTCAGGAATGCAAACGGGCGAGCTGTACACGAGCGAAAGTTGTAAAAGTAGCCATAGAAATGAGAAGGCCAGTGGTGACAGCGAAGGTGGATACTTGCCATCGTCCGATGTCACCTTCGCAGTGGCGCACTTCAACACCGGCAACGAGCCTGAAATCCAGCTTTCGACATCGTTGGTGGATACCAGGCACTTATATGCTCCAAGTCCTGGCTTCGCCGGATTGAAGTCTTCCAGCAGCGATTCGTCGATTACCACATTCAGCGACCGCTGTTTGGTGGTACGAAATGCATCGAGTCCACTGCTTGACAAGGTACTCAGCGGCAAAGATCTGATAGCTCATTTCGGCAAGCAGCTACATACAGGGTATATGAAGCTGTCTTCATGCGCATTGTTCTCACCGCCGCAGTCGACCCGACCGCTGCATTCCGACCGATATGTAGACTTTCTGAGCAGAATCGAAACCAGTCGTTCACACTTCATTCTTCTCTAGCACCATGGGCTCTTCGAGTGCTGGAGTTTACTCCGCTAACAGAACTTACTTTTTCTACTTGTTGCCATTTTATTGTATTCGCACCATTTACACGAGTTGTAATCTTATTTCTTTATTATTTGTGAACAATAGCTTTGTAGTTTGAGTCATATATCGTTGAAGAACTTAAACGTTGCTGCGCGGTACCGTCGATCTGCTCCGTGATGTCCGATTTCGATTACTACTTATTGGGCATAAATACGCATTAAGACTATTGTGCGATTTTGATACAGTGCAAATAAACTGCTTGCTCTTTCTTTTCTATTCAGTTTACACAATACTTTTATAGGTTATTATCATCGATATCTAAAAGACTAAACAGTGTTTTAACAATCGAGAACCGAAATATTTCTTAAAAAACTCAGAGTAAGAAAACGCATCAGGGTATGGTTTCAGCTGCATCAACCCATATCAGCGAAATTAACTTGACCAACACCGTACTGTGATATGTTGGTGCTCCCGGGAATGCAGCCAGAACATGTCTTACCTGGTACTTGTTTTCTTTCGCAGCTGTGTTGCATATGGAGGACGTCAGGAGTAAACCTATAGCAACAAATCTCACTCTAAATAAGACCAAGCGCTTAGTTAATGACAGGAAGCATCGGAAAGTAGTTTTGTTTTAGAGTTTAGAGATAAAAAGTTGAATCTTAATGCGGTGAAAAATTTCACTTATTAACTGCCAGTTTCTGTGAGTAAAGATTTCACTCCACTGTGCATTCGTATAACCAACTAAGAAACTGGTAACAAGTCGCTGACTTGCGAATAATGGTGGTAACTTGATTTGATGTGGGCATGTCAGCGCCTGTGACGCGTACGACAATATTACTGATACATGACCGGCATTTATGGCCCCAATTAATTTGGAATACTCTAAGTATTGGCACTGTCGGATATGGAACTCTATTGTGTTAACTTACCTGATAAGAGGAACGATTGGAAATCCTTCATGAAACTGCGAAACCAGTAGATAGAACTACACAAATGAACGAGCAAACATCTTTACATATATTCTTCAAGATTTTAATTTTACGGACTGTTAACGTGGATTCTCTTTTGTTCCGCTATGTATGACTTTACGGTATTACAATTTAATATAAATTTATGCTCCTTGGATTCTGAATTTTCTTCACTGTTATGAATTTTCAGGGCACTGAATTTTAAATTTTTGCTCTGCTACGACAACAGTATTTATACCGTCGAAGCGGATGAAAACAAAAAATCAGACTGCTTGGAAATTGGAGAATAAAGTCAGTTAAAACTCAACGCACTAATCGCCGATTTAACGGATTTTTTGGATAGATACTATGCGGGCGAAACGAAGCCAGCATGAAAATCAAAATACGGAACTATTGACACACTGACATAAATAGATTGAAATAAAGTTCAAAGGCTTCTGCGTTCATTCAAAATGTCATGAAGGCGGCTGATTCTTTGATCCAATGCTCCAGGTTCACTGCATAAATATGAATTGGACCGCACCGCCAGGGCTAACAGGTTCGTATATTCAACCTCGTCGAAGTCAGCGCCGTTTTCGACTATGTAATTCAAGATATCGTCGGGAGATTTGTAGAGTAACTCGAAGTACTTTCCCGCCATATCAAGGTCGGCTTCGCGAGTGCCGGTGAGATTGGACAAACACTGATTAACTGAAAAAACATCCCTACAGATTCGCTTCTTTCCCGCGTCACTAATCTTCGAAATCTGTGGGCACATATTAATAAATATGGATGCCACTAAATGCCCCAAGCCTTCGAAAATGTACCTGACCTTGCATGACTGCAAACTGTTCATTAAAATATCATGCAGTTGAACCAGATCTTTGTTAAGCCTAGCGATCTCCTCGTCTATCTCCTGGGCAGATCCCGTAAATGGCTTTTTGGACAACGGTAACAAATGATAAAAGCAGTGCACTCGCACCTCCAAGTGCAGCATGAGCAGACAAGTGGCAGAGAGAGCGTCGATATCGGCCATGTACTTATCGAATTCGTTTACCAAGTTCACAGAATCCTGGTAAGACAAATTCTGGAAATCAGAAGCATCACCCCGAACCAAGGATTTAACGGACTGCGACATCGCCGACCACATCAAGCGGATATTATTCGAAAAATATTCGACCGACTCCTGAAAACCTGCCAGCAGCAAGTAGCGTCTAAAAAACAGGTGCAACAAGCAAGTATACTGAAATATACAACATTACAAGATTCAGTTCTGATCGTGTGGTCAGAAAGCACACAACTGACTTCGTCGTAATCGATCTTAAACTTCTGAGAAAAGTGTAAAGAGTTTTAGACTTTTATCAAACATTTGTAACGTCTCTTTGGCGCAGAAACAGGCCTACCGGATAAACAGGCAAATTTCTGTCATCGCCTAACACGGCAACGTTTCACTGACCATAATTTCACCATCAACTTTTTAAAACGAGGTAAGAAGTTATCTGCGTTCCAAATTTTGCGCGAACGTTGTTAAGGTGGCTAGTAAATTAAAGATGATTTTTCAGCCACTATCTTCTGATGGTTTGAACATAACGGATCAAGAGCAGAACGAAATCAGGTTTGAGAATTGAAAACAAAGTGTGAAAGTATGTCGCTACGGATTTACGCGTGATCAATGAAACTTTCAACTTTTAACTGCCCAAGAGAGCCATATGTGATAACTGGCAAGTCTCTAGAACTAGCATATACCAACTGTTTCCGCCTAATTGAAATAAAGCTCCGTGAAGAAAGACTACTGTGCTTAATAACTATCATCCAATATTCAACAGTGAACATTATGATAAAGGATTCCCACTTAGCTAGAGACAAAATCAAACAGACGGCTATTGTGCGTTCAGCTGTGCATGACATTTTGTTTATAAACTATAACTAGTTCAATGAAAATCGGTTAGAAAGCTATGAACAGCACGGTAATGCGCAGAGTTAGAACTCCACATCAAAGTACTGGATTCGAGATACTACTTCACATGCTGTATTTAAGGGGCTAGACACCAACGCTGAACCACAATATCCAAAATACAGCACGGATATCATGCAGTGTTCTAGTCATCGACTGTAAGGTAAACTTTCGAAGATAACATGGTACACAGTACTAACCGCAGTCACACCGTAGGTTAAACTCAATCTTCCAGAGGTGGAGTTTAGAACCGCATCGCCTTTGTTTTTCTGAGGAAAGAAACACTGATGACTCATAAAATCGGTTCAAGAAAACATGTTGATAATAAAAAAACATAACAGCTAGAGAGGAAACAATGAGCTGATATAAACAACGCTACCTTGGGTCATCAAGGATGATTTCGCTCTCTTCGATCCGTTTCTGGGTTCCAAGATTGCTGATCAGGATTTCTGATTCGCGGATATTCCGTGAGCGGATGTCGCTGGCGCTTTCCATAATGGGCGTATTGGCGATGTTCTGCGGGCTAAAGCTAGACGATCCAGTTGGATGTAGGTCGGCAGTGGTCGCAATCCAATTCGGTAACGACTTCAGCAGGCGACTGATGTCGCTGTCCACCGCCCATGCAGCACTGATCTTGCGCCTCTCTGGTTGGTTGTTGTGTGAGTAGCGAATGAGGGATGAGTAGGCGGCCTTCGCCGACGATTCGTACTTTGCCAAGAGTTGGCAGCACAGCAGAAAAAACTCTCTCGCAAACAACGGCGCCGCACACATCAGCATGTCCAAGTATCTATAGGTATCAATCACCTGCACGGACGACGATAACAGCGGCAGAGACACCCCCAACTGGATCTGCTCGTCGAATGTGGTGCATTTGGTCCACGCATCGGGCGTAGACAACAAGGTATCCAGCTTCTGCGTGATGTCCATTTTTAAACGGGGCAAGTAAACGTCGCGAATATAATTGTCGAGAAAGGTACGTAAACGACAAGGGCTTTTCACTTGTGTCTCAAGCTCAGCGATGAACTTCATGATTGGTGAAAAGATGACTTTGATGTTTTCGGAACCAGGGCGACAGATGTACGTTTTGTTGTCGTCGTTGGCACCAATATCCGTTTGCGCAAACTTCTGTTCCATGTTAAAGGCGGTGATATTGATAGCATGCGCAGTGGACATGAACCGAAATAACGGCTTCTTGGCAGTCGTGGGTGGTCGCTTCTGGAAATAGCTAGAGACGTTACCGAAATACGTTGGAGTCGTGTCTTTTTGCTTCGAACTGCTGCTCAGATCGAGGTAGTAGTCAAGTAGCTGCTCGACAATGAACTGCACGTGCTCAATGAAGAATTCCATGCTGACCGTGTCCAGCTCTTCCATCTTGCGCTTTTCGCGAACTCGATTCAGCTGTTGCAAAAAAGCACCGTAAACAGCGGTTAGAATCTTGAACTGTACGAAAAGCAGATGAAGCAGCTCGGCTAAGACCTGACTGTCGTTCGCGTTGCTGATCGAACCACATATGTACTTTTGTACGTAGCCAGATGTGCGATTAACCAATCGCCACAGATCTGAAACGATGCCTTCTTTGAGATTTTTCACAAGATCAGAGAACCTTCCCAAATGGCCGCAAGATTCAACAAGAACAGCAATATACTGAACGATCTTCGTTTCGGGATTCAGCTTCAGGTCCTCGTACGCGTAACCGTCATCCTGAATAACTGGCGTTTCGTGAAGCGACATCAAAATGTCATGCCCAACTGATGACGTAATGTAAGACGAAACGCACATAGCAGAATTCGAGTCAGTTACAGATTTATCGTGACCTGGCGAATCGAGATTCGTCAATCGAACCGCAAAGAGTACTTCCTCAGATGTTTTCGAGTACAGAATAGCCTTTATTTCTTGCACAATTTGCTCGTACAGTTCCTAAACAAAAAGTATGTTACGAATACAAAACTCGATTAACTGGAAGTTGCAAAACAAATGCTGGATACGTAGTAAACAAGTTTATATACCATACTTAATGCCAGGTCAAAACCCTGCCTGAAAAGCTGTGGTTAGATTGTGCTCTACATGCAGTTATCAAAATCTAAACGTTCAAGTCTTCTGATTGCTTGGCTTATACGATCATGTAGGTGGTCAACCATGTCGAACACTTCGACAGTCTGTTTTAAAATTTAGAAAAGCAGTCTATTTAACATGGCATAACATAAGTTCATTATGGCGTTCGCACTTTAACAAATAACCAATAACCCCTCATATTGTGAAGACGTATTGAATTTTTGACCGAACAGTCAGTGGTGATTTATCCCTGTGACGTGCTGTTATATTGCGCTATGTAAAACAAACTGCCTTGCTGTGTTTTCAGTACAAACATGAATTAATGAGCTGTAGATGTGTAGTGATGCAATACTTTAACAAATCCCAACGCCTCCGTGATTATCCAGCCAGTGAGAAGAAGGAAAGAATAATGTCGCCAGCGTGATGCCCGTCTTTTTCACAGTCTAATGATGGACGCCATTCAAGTGACACGAGGTCATGGAGCTCATGGTGCGGCACTGATTTCCGTGAAGATGACTTCAGACTTCAAACAAAAATATCGAATTACCTTATTCAGCCGAGCCACGGTTTGTCTTATTTCATTCAGACCTTCAATATCCTTCAGATTACCACTGAGAGCTGTTTCTGAAAATAGAACAAGCCTATAGACAGCAATTTTAACAAAAGAGCAACAGTGCAATCTAATCAATAATACAATCTAAATTATCGGCAATAGGTATCCGTATAAAGTCGATAAATCGATAACTGACAAGTGATTTTCGAAGAGGAGCTAAAAATTATTTCTTCAATGGGCCGAAAATGCTTGTATCACATACCATGTCTATCGCTGTTTATGAGTCATTCTAGGAAACTGACTGAAAAAGTGAATTTACCATCACTGGCAAGAGTGTGCCGTGGTACGTATGATGTCTACCGACGAAATGCAGCTTAGCAAATCCATTCAGTCAGCTTTTATGACTGCGAGAAGTCGTTTCGTTTAACCAGCCTTGCCCATGAGTACAGGATTATCCAGACAATATTATGTACAAACAGAGTTATAGCCCACGTACAAGTTCTATAATCTGCTGATGTCGATTCCGTCGCGGACAAGAATGGTGGCTAAATGTCTACATGAAACGATTCCTTATTTTCAAAGAATTGCTGGAGTTTGTTCGACAAGATGGAAAAGAATATGGCAAAGTTGCTGCCCAAAGGCGTGACCAGTCAGATCACTGAACTGGTCTGATTCAAGTAACTAACGCCTAGCACACTGAGGCAAGAAGAACGAGCGTCCACTGAAGCGTTCGAAGGTGGTGATAAAAAGACTTTTGTTAGTCGCCTAAACGGATTTCAAAACAAACAACTGCAATTAATGTTCGCTCTACAAACATCAGAAAATAATAAATTTCGGAAACATCACGACAAAGAATCAAAACTGTTTGTATAGTTTTACAACAATGTATTCCTCATGTGAGAGCGAAGGAAAAACTGAGGCAATGTTGAAGAAAAATACAAAGAAATGAAAGAACCTAAACAGAACTCACGCCGTAAGGACAGTATAAGATGTTTAAAAAATGCAGTGAAACTGCTCATTATATTTAAAAAGATTATGACAATGTCCATGGCAGCAAATCACACTGCTGAACACAGTATGCATGTCTGATATTACATCATTAAACGGGTCAACGAATTCAACCTTCCCGAACAAGCCTCTAATTTGCTAAATGTGCAGAAACTAGATCGCAAAATCTAGCTTCGTATAATATACTTGAAGGAAGTTCTTTCTAAACTAAGCATCGCCTCAGAGACAGAAACATCAAATTACTGCTGAAATGAACAAAGAAAACTCCAACCGTTGAACAGGTGGCCTCTTTTACTCTTCAATGATACATGTCATTTTCCGAATTCATCTGTCATGGAGCTCATGCTGAGGCGTTGATCTTCAGTTGGGCGCCATCAAGTTGGGTACTTCATTTTTATAAACCTAATTTCCGCAGCATGGTAACTATCGTAACGTATACATTTAAGTATTCACTTATCAACCCCAAAAAGATTATACGGCAGCAACCCGACCTAGACTGCAATCCTCGATCTTCGACTGCAAATCAAGTTAGCCTGAACTAGCACCCCAGTTACATGACGCCTAAGCTTAGATTACTCACTGAAACCTCGAAGTACCTTTATGGGTAAAGCATTAGAGTCACAGATAAGAGACAGTGGGTTCAACTGTGGACCGGGCTACTGACCCTTCATTCTTCCTACGGAGATAAAAAGTTGCATTTCGCAGAAGATCAACATGAGACTATCTGCCATACTTATGGCATAATTGTAGATATTGCTTTCATGAACATGGGACTAGTGACTGAGGCATAAATAAAAACTAGAACGCGCAGTAATGTCAATGAACGAAGACTGCTAAAAGTGCGTCGCAATGGAAATGTAAGAGAGACGAAAATCACGGTAGATACCGTTTTTCTTTTTTCTCATTCTTTATGACAGTCGCCTATTTCATCAGGTGAGCAGAGATCCGGTTGCGGGACAGTTTGAATTTCCTTCTGAGCCAACTTCACAGCTAATGTCATAGCAGAATCAGTTTTAACTGTCACCTGTCTCCACAGTGTTAGAAACAGAGCGTGAGCCAGTCTAGGTGGCTTGGTAAGTGTAGAAGGTAGAGGGTTATGAAAAGATGTTTTTAAGAATGCAGCGAAAGCATTCTGACAAAATGAACAACGTTCACCTGCTCTCTTCGTGCATGATTTAGCATAATAAACATATTGCATCGACGCGTTAATGGCTAAGCATATGGTCTGCTGGAAAGCAATCGAGGATCAATTCTTAGGCTGCATGCCATGGAGCATGTCATAATTGTCACCTAACTATACGCTGCAATGCGCAAAATGTTATATCTGCTCTAAAAATAAGGCACTTCTGGTTCACTGTCACCAGGTACATCTAGTTCATTGGGTGTCGGTGCATCAACGAGGGAAACGTCTTCTGGCAAAAGTGTAGCCGAACACATGTCTGAAGTTCACGGAAGTAGATCGGTACCATACATGAATTGCTGGGCCAGTGTTCCTCGAACGACAGGCAGATGACCTCCGTTAAGGATCTGAATGGATCAACAGGAAACGAAGTGTGGCTATTCCATTTTTATTCTTGTAACCAAGAAGTCCGTTGTTTCATTCATATGTCACTAATGGCACCAAGATCACTTAACGTTGCCCCCGTTACGAGTTAAATCGTATCACCTTATGCAAAGTGGTTGCTTCTGACTGATCACATTGAAATGGTAATCAGTGCTGTATCACGCGCTCCAATACAAGAAATGACTACAAACGACATCCGTCAAGGAAGTGAAAGGACGAACGCCATCTTCAGAAACGAGATTTATTAAAATTCGCCTCCACCTGAGTTCTTTAAGCGAGACACAATAGTCTGTCCGATAACCGTGTTCATGCTTGGCAACTGAACTGCATTATAACCTTTTACAGTCAGTCAGAAGCAAGCAAAAAATTTTACACAATTAATTAAGCGACAGATTTTTACCGGCTTGCATCAGCTGCGTTGATGCGTGCAGAAAATGCTTCTGTTCAGACAGTTCAGACACTTCTGCCTCGATATTTTTAATCGAATCCCTACAA